GTAGCTAATCGATCTATAACGCTGCTTTTTGTGCCTGCTGGCAAGCAAGCGCCCGTTTTCTGGGGGAGATCTCGCTCTGTACAGCTCCCTGCAAGGAGATTGGAGTGAGGGGGGGGTTGGTCTCTTCTCCCAGGTAACCAAGTTGACTGAAGTTACTCTTAATTCATCTCCAGAGTTGAGGAAAATTGTCTTGTCTAATGCTACTCGCTTTGTCCTTCCTCTTCTGCTTTCAATTTAATAAGATAAAAAGCAGTTACTACATTTTCAGCTTCATTTAAGTTCCCTTTGCTTCTTCTGACAGATCAGGGCCCTTTTTAGAGTTGTTTTACTCTTTGCAACTTTGGTCTTTGTGAAATTAAATTATTGCTTTTTTTTTTTTGTCTTTTATTTTCCCCTCAGTGTGATAATGGAAGATCTGCCATCCTCAGACCTGGAAGATTTGTGCTTTCACATCAACACGAAGATATCCACTATTAAAAAGACTCTTCAGTTAAGAAGCATAGGTAAAAAGAAATTCAGAGCTGTTTTTTGGTTGCACCTCCTGGCAGGAAATGGGAATGCTCTCACTAGACAAGGGATGTAAAGTGGAAATTATGTAAAATATAGGGAAAAAAACAACAAAATGAGCTGTGAAAGCCAGGCTGTGTAAGAGCTGTGACCTCCACCTGCATTGTGTGGTGGTTGTGGGTGCATCTTAGAGCTCTGTGGAGTAGAATGTTGACTGGCAGACCAACAAATATTGCTGCTTCTCCTGGGGAGATATGGTGGTGGGGGGAGCACAGAGTTAGTAGATAATTGCTGCTTGTGGAGGGGAGAGGAAATGGGATTTTGGCTTTGTGCTGGAGGTATTTTGACTTAATGGTCTCTTTTTGCCAGGTCAAGAGCCATCCCTCAGATCCATGCTGTGTAAAACAGGACAAGAGATGGCTCTTCTCCACGACCTCCTGAATAAAACAGAAGCAGAAGTTCGAGAGCAAGAAAAACTGAAGAATTTGCTCAAAGTAATCTTTATCCCTGTTCATAAAAATACTGGAAGATTTGAAGGAATCTTTCCTAAGTGCTTCGTTGTGCTTTTCTAGATTGCCATTGATATGCCAGGTCCTGCCCTTGGGTCACACCAACCCCCTGCAGTGCTCCAGGCTGGGGCAAAAGTGGCTGGAAAGTGCCTGGTGGGAAAGGACCTGGGGGGGGGGCCTGGTTGACATGAAGATTGTGAAGATTTCTGATGAAGTTCTACCATTAATTTCAGGAGCTGCAGAAGTCTGCTGAGAGAGAGCAACTTGAAGCAAGGCACCTCTCTGAAAACATCCCTACCCATCTGCCTAAACCAACTCAGAGCTGGTATGTGGCACATGAGATGTTGGGCTGCTCCTGGCACTGCCCAGCCTCAGCACTGTAAAGCTCTGCACCTTTTATTGTAGAATCCTGGTGAGCTCTGGGGAGCCAGGGCTGGTTTATGTATTGATTCTGGAGTTTGATCTGGACAGGCTGGTGTCAGAGGTGGTGTGGCCAGCAGGAGCAGGGCAGGGATTGTCCCCCTGGACTGGGCACTGGGGAGGCTGCACCTCAAATCCTGGGGTCAGTTTTGGGCCCCTCCCTCCCAAAAGGCCCTTGAGGGGCTGGAGCGTGGCCAGAGAAGGGCAACGGAGCTGCTGGGGAAGGGTCTAGAGGCCAAGTGGGGGGAGGAGCAGCTGAGGGAGCTGGGGGTGCTGAGCCTGGAGCAAAGGAGGCTCAGGGGAGACCTTCTGGCTCTGCACAGCTCCTGACAGGAGCCTGGAGCCAGGGGGGGGTCGGGCTCTGCTCCCAAGGGACAAGGGACAGGACAAGAGGGAACAGCCTCAGGTTGATCTGGAGATCTCAAATCTTGTTTCCACCCATTCTAGCTTGTTAGAAGGGAACACATTAAGTCTCTTTGATTTTCAGTCCTTCCAATATGCTCCATCCAACCTGGTCTTGAACACTCCCAGGGAAGGGACACCCACAACAAGGTTTTTTTTCTAAGAATTTTCTACAGATTGTGCTCTGTCAGGGTCAGTTTGTGAGATTTTTTTACTCCTGAGGTGTCAGAGCTGACACCATTTGTGTCAAATCCTGGCCCCTTGGGGCAACAGATAGGGCATGTGCCTTTTGACTGCAGGGCCTCCTCAAACCAAGGTCTCACTTTGTCACTTCCCTGCCCCTGCTGGACACACTTGTTCTGATACAGGCCAGAATTTGGGAATCTTGCCTGATAAATAAATCCCAGCCCAGTGGTTGGGGTTGAATTCCTCTGCTCCAGAAGGTGAATGGATGAGCCAAGCTTCCCAAGGTGTGACCTGATTCAAAGAGCTGTGAAGGGTTTCAGACCCACCAGCTTGGCTGCAGCTCCAGGCTGTGGTTGACCTGCTGAGACCTGAGATCTCCACCCCTCTGCCCTGCCTTGTCCTCCTTCAGTTCTCCTGCTCACCACCTCTCTGGCAGGGAGACCCAGAGCTGGGATGGAGCCACCTCAAACAGGCTGTTTGGAACAGAGCAGGACTTGTTTTAATTTGACTTCCAGGAAAGAGCATGGATGGTGTTTATCCAGCCCAGCAGAGGGGTTGGAAGGCAGGTCTGTGAGTAAGCAGCCTTGATGCTACAACATTCTTACTACTCCTCTACTATTCTTATACTTCATCTTTATTTTACAGCCCTGCTGGGCCTGCTGTGAAATGTGAAGAACAAACCAAAGCTGTAGAACCTGAACGTGCAAAGAAAGCCACCAAAGAGCCAAGAGTCATTAAAGAAATCACCTTAATAACTGCAGAGGAATTTGAAAATGTTCCTGGGTGAGTAAAAGTGGCTTTTGCATGGACACTGATTTGGGTGACAAAAGGGGGGTTGGGAGAGTGAGTTCTTGGAGAACTCAGCCTAGCAGAGGGCTGCAGGTGGAGGAATAAATGCCTGTGGTGACTGGATGATGAGTTCTCCTGGTGTTTTCTTGGTGGTTGTAGAAGACCTGCCCACATTCTGCTTCCCAATATTGAATTTGGGATTGATGAGCTGCTTCTGCTTCAAATTCTTTGGTGCTTTTCCAAACCTTGAGTTTCACCAGCTGGGTTAAAATGTGGGAAGAATTTCCAGGGTCATGGATCTGTTCAGTCTTGTCCTACAGCTTTTAGCCTCCTGCCCTAAAGAACCACTTTCATTCTTAAAACCTTTTCCTCCATAGAATTTTTGGAATT